CACATCACAAAATCCCCAAACTACAGATGTTGCTGTGGATGTGGAGAAAAGGGAACACTTCTCCACTGCTGGTGGGAATTCAAGCTAATATGTTCCTTTTGGAAAGAAGTTTGGAGAACACTCAGGGATCTAAAAGTAGACCTGCCATTTGATCCTGCAATTCCTCTACCAGGTGTATATCCGAAAGACCAAAAATCACTTTGCAACAAAGATATTTGCACCAGATTGTTCATTGCAGCTCAATTCATAATTGCCAAGTCATGAAAGAAGCTCATACCATGGAATACTATGCAGACTTAAAAAAAGATGGCGACTTTATCTCTTTTATGTTTACCTGGATGGAGCTGGAACATATCCTTCTTAGTAAAGTATCTCAAGAATGGAAGAAAAAGTATCCAATGTACTCAGTATAATTTATAATTACTCACACTTTCTTATGAAAGATAGATCACAACTATAGCCCAGGATGAAAGTGAGAAGGGGAGGGGGAGGAGAGGAGAGGAGAGAGGTTTGATAAAGGGAGGGTAAATGGTGGGGCCACACGTATGGGGCATATTGCAAGGGTACAAATCAAATCTATTAAGTATAGAACATAAATGTCTTAACATAATAATTAAGTAAATGAGGCAAAAGCTATATTAAATAGTTTGATGTGAGCACTCCAAATTGTATAAAAAATCAACACATTGTACCTCACAAACACATAAGTGTATTTGTGATCTATGTATATGTGACTTAATAAAAGGAAATAAATAAATACCCAGAATAGGCAAATCTAAAGGAACAGAAATAGATTAGTGATTCCTTAGAATGATAGGTTGAGGGGGTGGAGACGGCTAAAATTGTGGGCCACTGAGTTGATGAAAATATTCTAAAGTTGACAATGGAGATAGTTACATATATCATTGAATGTACTATGGACATGACCCATTGAAATGTCCATTTTCAGTGTGTAAGTTACATGGTATTTGGATATTATCATAATACAGCAGTTATCTGAAAAAAAGAGAGAGAATGACAAAATAGTCCACATACTTATCGAGAGAAAGAGTGGATCTAAGAAATCAAATCTTAAGAGTTTCTTGGTCTTTTCCACAAAGGGATCTTGTGGGTTGTTGAGAGAATCAACGTTCACTCCAAATGATGTGCCCGTGATCACATCCATGCTGTAAGCTCCAAAGACGCTGAATAGAGAAACATGTGGAAAACTGAAATTAGCTCTATTTTTTTTTTTT